TATTTTCAGGATCCATGCGAGCCTGTTTAAAGACAGCCAGTTCTAGAGCATTGCAGCCCTGTCTAAAGCACCCTGCTCTGACTGACAGGAGGCTGAGGGAAGTGCCGAGGTGCGGTGGGTGCTCCGGATGATGAACAAGACCGTCTTTACACTCCTGCCGCCCTTTGTGCACAGCAAGGACAAAGTCACGTCCTGCTAGTTACACTCCTTCAACAGCGCTGCCTCCAAACACTTTGGCTTGGCCGTGCTATAAATGAAGACGCTGATTTGTGGCAGCACTGCACGGGTTCAGAGCGTGTCACACACCACCTTGGGCTCCAATAAATTCAGAGAAACCACCAGAGAGTACCAGGTGAGCGCTCGCCTCGATAGCTCACATCCAAAGCAAAGGCATGGACCGCAGGGTCCACAAGCAATTTCTGCCCACACGTTTGTGTCTCTCTCTTGCTTTGTCTCAGTAATGTTTCAGATGATTCATGATCCTGCACTCCCTTCTCCCCAAATCATCAGAATTGCAGAAAAGCTGTGCCTCGTGCACATGGGAGCGGGTGGGAATCAGGATACGTGGACTCTTGCAAGTAATCTCCATCAAGCCAACACACACCGTGTAATTTTATGACTCTTCAGGGCTGCTGTAGAATCTATGCATTTCCTCCCCTCCTCTCCTTCCAGCTTAGCCATGATTTTCATGTGGTTTTAATATACATTTTCTGTATTTTCTCTATCCAGCTTTTTGTTTCCAAAACTTCTGGTCAGCTGCAGTGCAGACCAAGAGCCAAACAAATTGCTGCGTTCTTCCACACTTCCTTCCAGAAAACAGCTTGAAAGTTAAAACTGGTGTTAGAGGCTTAAATGCTAACACCTCATTTATATGCCAGCCACACCCCTGCATTTAAAAAAAGATGCAGTATAAAAATGAGCAAGATGTACATACTCTAAGTGGGGAATTAACACAGAGCAGCTTCTCATGCTCTCCCTGCTCAGGCTGCACTCTAAGGATCCAAAGAGAGGCAAAGACTCGTGTTTACCTCCTAAAACTGCACGGAGACGGGATGTACAAGCATGCAGGGAAATGCTTTTGAGTCTCAGCTGCCCCAGGGAGATATTTCCACTCCTATCCTCTGCATTTCATGCCCTGCTCAGGTTCAGCCCAACGCTGAGGGCAGGCTGATGGGGCAGCCACTGCTTCAGCTCCGCCAGGGCTAATTTGTCACACGCCCTGTTCAGCGCGAAGCCTGGCCCCGACACAAGCCAGCGCACCAGCTCTGGGTGTCTACGGGAGACAGCTGCTCGGTGCGGTGCTGCAGGATGGCACAGGGGAACTCTCCCAGCGCAGACAAGCCTTCCAACTTCTGTATTAATTTGGCCTTCATTATACCTGTGAAACACTGCAACCAGCTCTATTTCCAAGCCAATCTGTAAAACCCTTCTTAAGACAGTTTTGGAGGCTTATTATCTATTTGGCTTACATCTACATTAAAAACTATTTGGTTGAGATCACAGAATCACAGAATCACAGAATGTCTGGGGTTGGAAGGGACCTCTGAAGATCATCCAGTCCAACCTTCATCCCAGCACACCCAACCACTACACCAAGTGCTAGATCTACTTTTTTTTTAAACACCTCCAGGGTTGGTGACTCCACCACCTCCCTGGGCAGCCTGTTCCAGTGCCTCACCACTCATTCAGGAAAGAACTTCCTCCCAATATCCAACCTAAACTTACCCTGACGCAACTTGAGGCCATTTCCCCTTGTCCTGTCATTAGGAATTAGAGAGAAGAGACCAGCACCAGGCTCACTCCAGCCTCCTTTTAGGTAGTTGTAGAGGGCAATAAGGTCTCCTCTCAGCCTCCTCTTCTCCAGAAATCAATCTTAAAGCGAAGCCTCATGTTGGCCTCCTACCCAGAACAATTTCACCCTTGGGCACCTAGAGAGCCTCCTGCCCACGCAGTTAAGATCGCTCAGACTCCTGCAGCCTGTGCTGCCTTCGGGAAAAAGGAGGAGTGGGAAGACACCAGCAAAGTGTCCACTGAGGTCAGTGAGGGCAGGACCTGGCACGTGCTGCTCTGCAGACACGCTCTGCTCAGGAGAAGAGGGCTCAGCCTGCTACAGATGTCTTTGTACTTGCCATACAATGTGTACAGTGCTGGGCTTGGCAGAATTACATTTTCTTTGCTTTCTCCTGTTGTTGAGTAAACATCCTTGAAACCTGTTGAAAGGTTAGCACCTGGCTGCCACACTGCTGTGAAATTCCCCCACAGCGATCAAGGGAAATTTTGCCCGCGCTGGTATCAGGCACAGCAAAGACCTAATTATTGTTCTGATCCACTAAGCAACAATCGCCTCTACTGTAAACTGAGCGATGCATTCCAGACTTCATCCCAGAATACTTCTGAGACCAATAAACTTGGATATACTTGGAAGCAGCATTTCTTTATGGGTGCACGCCAGGGAGATACTGGGTTCCAGATAAATCTCCAGAGCAAGTCTGTTGACTTCAGTCCATTTACTCCAGGGATGAAGCTGGCTCGGTGTCTTTCCTGAAGAACTGCTGGATAATAATGATTCCTATTTAATTAAAAAGCACGCCAAGAGGAATTTCAGGGTTTAGAAATGTGCTTGTCACTCAGATGAATTTATACTCGGACAGAAAAAGTTTGCTTTGTTTTTCGTTTCTCCCCAGGACACATACACAATTATCTCCGAAACGTCCCTGGGCTTGAATCCACAGCGGTGTCTCTGGGTCTGCGGTTTGATTATTAGAGGTTGTTGCTTGCCTGCCTCTCTCATCTGTTGTGCAAGCCAGTTCCTCTGCCCTGAATTCACTCGGAGCTTCTGACAACACCACATTCCTTAACGTGCCATTACCAAACTAGTAAATAAGCACTGCTCTGCTCTCTTGCTCCCTACCCTAAGCCAAAGAGACTGGGTACTCCTCTCCGGAGCACCTTCCATTTTAGAGACTCTTTGGGTAAAGCAACACACAGTGAGGGATCTCAGCTGCTGATCTACCGCCAAACACACTGGACTGCCCTCCTGCAGAGACAGGCTCTTGAATTAAAATCTTTCCAGCAAGCGAAGGGATGTGTTTGACTTACATTTGGAAAATATCAGCGAGATAGTCCCCACTTGGAGACCTTGTGAAGAGGGAATGTGGGAGGTAAAGGAGGAGAGGAGGTGAGGAAAGCTTTTATCTGCAACAAATTTGTTAAGTACAGAATTCGAATCTGGAAAGTATTAAGCTTATAAAGTTTCCTGTGGACAAAAGTCTCCCTATCTCTGCTGCACCCACCTTGCTTATCTGGACTGTATTTCTTACCCTTCAAGAACACTTTTTTACACGAGCACTATCCTCACAGCATTCCACTGGAGCAGTCCCACACCATCCTCCCAGCGCAAAGCACCATATTCCCTTTACTCCACGCCCTGCTGCTTTGATCGAGCTTTTTCTATCGGTTTCGTCGTTCTCCTATAACAACCTTAAAATGGCAGCACTGCTTACAGCCTTTCCTCTCCATCGCCTCAATTCTCCACCAAATCCCATGTCAACATCTGTACAGGGCACATCTCTTGGCTTCGTTGCGGATGTGCCAACAAAGAAGTTGGCCCAACTTCTCTGGAAACGTTCCATCTAGTTCAGAAAAGTAACTCTGAGCAACCTACCACACTGCTAATCCTTTGTCCATTTTTAGAACTGATTCTTTTATTGTTCTGAAAAGTCCAAATAAGTATTTTTTCTCTTCTGGTTTTCATGTCAGGGCAGAGGTGCCAAGCTACTGTGAAAAGAAGCATTTTACTCCCTAGCACTTCCAGCCAGAAGCAGAAATAGACAACTTCAGATTTTTCCTGTGAGATTTCTCTCCTTGCTCTGGATAGAGAAATATATCTCACTGCAAAGACTCATCTTCAAACGTGACTGCTCCTGCAGTTTGTGCCTCCAAAGGTCTCAGCAATGAATCGTAGGTTTTGTACATCATGGCTCAAATTTAGGACACTGGGTAAGTGTTTTAAAATCAGGAATAACAACAGTGACGCAGAAACTGAAGCCAGTTTGGGCACTCTTAAAAGAAGCATCCAAAACATTGCACGCAGTCAGTCACCAAAACCGGACTCCAATTCTGCTGACATTTGTACATCCCTAATTCTTGTTCTATATTTGCAGCACAAACAAGACCTAAAGCAAGAGCAGAGCTTCACTGTGTCGTATGGTCCACAACAATCAGCCTGTGTCCTGATCTTCATGGAAAAAGGCAGCTCCAGGGGATGATCAGGGACGTACGGAGGTATAACAGGTCCTTGCAGACAAGCAGCAGGGCCACGTGTGAGAGAAAAGCTTGTCTCAAGCCCTGTGGTTTCCTTCTTGCCTCCCTTGACCTCTTCCTTCTCTCCTGTTTTCTCCTGATTCCTGTCTGCCTCTTTTAATTATTCACTCTGTGCCTGTGCCTTTTGCGTGCAGAACATTTTGTGAAAAAGCACGGAGAAAAGATACTACTCAATGATGCATATTCATACTTCTGCTGAAACTGTTGTTTGGATATTTCAAAGTGCTTTTCAGACATGGTGAGCCAGGAAAGAAAAATTAATCTTGCAAAAATTTGCACACTTCTAAATGTCTTTTTCCTTGTACCCGAGGCAGAACAAAGACTCTGGCCTGGGTTCAGCATGCCTGCCCTTCTACAGGTGCCCTGATGCAGAAATTAGAAAATCCAGAGAAACCATTCCTCTGTAAGAGGCTTGGCAACTAATCCGCTTCCACAAACCATTTCCATGTTGTGGCTAATGAATAAGACTCAAAGGCTGTATGTTAGCAACACTGCCTCTTCATGGGTATAACCCAAAGGCAGAGCAGATGAAACGGAAGCACAGAAGAGTGCCGTGGAAGAAATGCCACCTTGCTCAAGGACCAGTCCTATGCTCTTTCTTACTGGAAAACTTTGCCTCCTTCCCAAGTTCAGTAACACTGAATTGCTGGTTTGTGCTAATGACATCTGTCACTTACCACTGTGCAGCACAGAGGCCAGAACCACCAGAGAAGAACCAACGCCAGCAAGAGGAACAGGATCAACAAAGCGATAGCCAGGATCGTCCCGTCTGACTGGAAGAGAAACACAGAAAGCGTGTGAGCACGACTGACAAAAAACTCCTCGCCTGTGCATCCTGCTTCCAGGCAAGCGCATTTCCCAGAGGCCGTTGCCATACTCCATTTGTTTTTCAGACAAAATGCAGTTTTCCTCCCTCCTCAAGCATCCAAATGTGGCACCCACCCCCCTTGCCCTCATTGCAAAGAGGCTGAGACCTCTAGTTCGCCTTCCAGAGAGTTATAGGATTTGTCTCAATCTCACAATCACATAAAACACTTCAGGTCAAAAGCCATGTATTGTGAAGAGTGAAAAGAAGATTTTAAAGAGCTCACGACGCGATGTTTCATTAGAGTTTAACCATTCTCCTTTCCTTGTAACTCTTCTCCCCGCTTGCAGTATAAACTTGAGAGCAATGTCAGAATTCAAGTTTGCTCCAAACAGAAAACTTGAAGCAAGATCTCCGTGGGCCCATGGCTCGGGTCATCCTGCTCTTCTTGGCAGTGCTGAGTCAGGGTCCTTCTGCCATGAGCTCCGCAAGGAGATTTGAACATACAGACCATCGCAGCAACGTGCAGGGGTTTTGCACATCAGAAGCCATTAACTCTAGAAGATCCTTTCCTCTCGAACTGGGATACTTCCCTCATTTAAAAAGGCATTTGCAGTTCCCTGATATCGATTAACAACACGAGCTGCTCCACAAGCCAGCTCAATCCAACAATCAAAAGCAAATGCATGATATTTCTCGTTGTAGAGTTTAACCCAAAGCAGATGTTCTTGGCTTCCTGAGGCATGCCAGCGTCCCTGTCCCACACCTCCCCAGTATCAGCCTCCTCCGAGAGAAGCAAGCAGGCAGTCCTGACTTAAGCTTGTTTGACACGTTCTTGAGGTACGGGCCAGACATCTAAAAAACTCCCACCCAAGTGTCAAGATGACAATGCCAGATTAAGGACGGATTCAAGAACAGACTGACCCGTAGGATGGGGAAATTGGGTGCCTGCTTAAGTCACTCTAATTCAATGGCCAGATGATCTCTCAGCATACCATAATGGGAAGAGTAATGGAAAAAAAACCCAAAACATTGGGTTGAGAGCATTTTCCAAACTCTCTTCTGGTGCAGAAGGCATTTCTGGAGAACTTGGATCAAGACAACCTGATCTTTGACACTTGGAAGCAAAAGAGAGATAGTCCATACAGGAGACAAATTCACCCAAGACATCTCTGAAATGGAACTTGGACCTCAACACAAAACAAACGCTCATTTGAGAAGGTAGAGCTGTACGTTTGGTGCTGTTCCTCCAGACAGAAAGAAGAAAGTCACATCCATCATTCGCAAAATGGAACCTCCTGATGCTCTACACTTCAGAAAATGTGATCCTGACTCTCTGCTGCCATGAAACTGTAGAAGAAATAAGGCTTTTAATGTCGCATCTTTTGCCCCTATACTTAAACAAATATTTTGCCATTAAGAAGTCTAAAATCAATTTGCAAAAATACGAAACAAATTAAAGCAGCCTTTTAACTATTTTAAAAACAGGTTTTTGGTTTCCCCCCCTGCCCCCAAGACAAACTGAAAAGACCAATTTTTATATTGTCCTAACACATCTGCTTCTCTGCAAAGCAGCTGCTGTGACCAGCTGGGATTCTGGGTGTCACAGCAGCAAAACCCTCCAGAGGACATCGAAGGCTTCGATTTGCCAAGGCTTTTCTGAGAAAAGCCCAGCAAGTCAGACCAGGACAAAGCACACATACCCAATAGATCCTACTATAAAAATTTGGGTTGTTTTATCTTTATTTTGTCACTTTTTGCTAGAATTTAGACATCATTCTGTGTAATATCTATGGTTTTATACGGCTAGAACTATGCTGAGATTAAAAGGGCCACTTTTTTGAGCTGCGTAAGAAAGAAAAAGGAAAATATGCCTGCTAAAATAGGTTGCAAAAGTTCCACTGACATTTTGAAATCTCTCTCCCAGTCTTATAGTTGGTTAGAAAGGGCTAAAGCATTTGAAATGTCTGCTTTCATTCCATTTTTTTTTTTTAATCAAAATTTGGAAGAAAATACAAATGCTCATGGAAACACTGAACCACAGAATAATTCAATGAGTTCTATTTAATGCTTGCTGAATAAAGGCTGTCGATTCAGACCAGGAAAACTTGCATTTTAAAAGACAAAAAAAAGAGAATTTTTACACTAAACTAGTGAATTTTCCAGGGGAAAAAAAAATCTATGGAGACAAAGTGTGGCCAACTGCTAAATATACACAGTTATCTGAAATCAATCCATAGGGAATAGGGAGATCAACAGCCTAGACCTCCCTTACACCTGACGGGCTGAGAAAAGCCCGACGGCCGAGGTACTCACCAGGACTTCTGCCAAACGCTCAGCGCGAAGCACTGGCAGCCGCCTTCTTGGCAAGTGTTCAAGACCTAGACCATACCTGGAGTCATTGTTTTGAAATGCCTCGCAAATGCATCAAGAAAAAGAGTGCGCTCTTTAAACGACCTTCCAAGATGCTACACATTCAATAGGTTAAAACCATGCAGGCTTCAAAACAAACACGCTGGTAGAGAGAGCAAGGCAGCCCCTCCTTGAAGACTTGTTTCCCTGGCCAGAGCCCCGCAAGGGCAGGAAAATTCTACAAGTGCTGCTGGCAGCTGAAGAACAATGGAGAACAACCCCCGGAAGATAACTGTCGAATAGAAAGATAGGAAGAAATCTGAAACAGGACACACCGGAGGCATTTCCTCACCCATGGGGTGTGTGCTTTCACTCAGCAGTTATTGTGGAAGTGCTACAGACCACCACTGGCCCAAGACAGAAGGCTGCCCCACCTCTTGGCCTCTGGGTACCTCCTGGAGAGAAGAGGGATGGCAAAGTCGGATCCAGTAACCGACGTGGGTTATTTCCTTCAACCTGCCCACAAACATTCCAGCGTGTGCTGTCCTAGAAAGGCACGCACGCCTCTGCCCTGGGCAGAAGGTCAGCACGAGGCAGGTGGGTGCTCGTTCGAGCAGCGGTGGTCACGCCACGGAGGAAATGACTCGGCCTCCATGGTTCTTTTGCTACTGCCTCATTGCCTGAAACCAAGCTCCTGAAATCTCACCCCAGGAAGCACGTACGCAATCACGCCGAGGGACGCGGCTAAGGATCTGAGATTTGTTAAGGCGCCTGTTTCATCTGAGACACGCTCGGTGCTTCCAACGCAGAAACAAACATAAACCAGCCCACAAACAGCCAGATTGTTGGCTTTTCAAGGCAACTATGGCTCATTTCTGAGGGTTTTCCAGATAACGTTGCCACACACCAGATGGGCATTTTTTGTTATGTTTGAGTTCAGTTTGTTTTTTCCAACCTTCTTATTTAATATTTTATTTCCTTGTTTTGCACCTCGTTGTGCTGGCATTTGCAGCACATGTTAGCAATTCCAGAAAGGTAACCTGGAATAATGACCCCAAACTGCACAGCCCCTCAAAAGATTCAACTACTGACGTTCAGGAGTGACGGATGAAGTCCTAGGCGCACCTCATACGTGCTCTTGTGTACTGTGGCTGACAAATTAATGCACTGCTGATTTATAGGGAGAGGGAGGTGGGCAGCATGCATGCTTGTTACCACAGCAGTAAATGGATTTGACTTTAAGCATGTGTTTAAATGTGCTGACTTCATGCTGTGCCTAAGAGGGATTGTTAAATACACAGAATCACAGAATGTTTGGAGTTGGAAGGGACCTCTAGAGATCATCCAGTCCAACCCCCTGCCTGAGCAGGGTCACCCAGGGCAGCCCCACAGGAACGCGTCCAGGCCTTAGAGGCTGGGTTCAGTAAAAGGATTTAATCCTAGCTCCTACAGACTTCACTGGAAAGCAAGAAGCTTAAATATTTAATCTGGTTCTGCACTCACTACTCTGGCAAACAGGAAGGATGCACCCTACCAGCTAGCCGCTCTCAGGATCACAGGCAGCCGGTCAGTCCCCTGTGCTCTGCAGAACCTGAGGAAGCCTTTTCAGCTGTTCACCGCAGCAGAGGACCTCAGGCAGCTCCGTGATGTTTCCTCCAGGGCAGGCTGGAAAGCTGCCGTCGTCACTGCGTCGGGGCGAGGAGCGCAGAACCACCCGCACTGCTACCGAGCCTTGGGAACAGCCGCATGGAGAGAGCCCTTTCAATAAGTCTCACTTCAGAGTGACTTGTCACAACAACAACTTAAATAACGCCACTGCCAAACCTTAGGTGCTTTACAAAGAGGAGAAACATGGTTAATGTCATTCCAGAGACAGGCAAGACACGAATGGCTGCTGTATCCCAGTCCTTTCTTATGTTTTCCAAGCAGGAAGAGCACTAACATGCTGAGGTGTTAGTAGGTAAAGAATTAAGTGCTTTTAAAAAGCTTTATGAAAATATTGAGTACAGCTTTGAACGAGCATCCAAAAATCAGACAGAGGTTTACTCCCTGGAGAGAAAGGAGAAGCAGCTTTAACGTCCTACTCCATAGGGGAGAGGAGGACCAAGGAGGACCCTGCCTTTTCACACCAGAGACACAGGCAGCTTTTAGTGTGCAGGAGACACTCTCTGCCCAACTCTCCTGGGGACTCTGCCACCACAGCAACAGAAACTGATGTCTATTATTTATTTGATCACACACAGGATTTTTATTTTTTTTTTAATATAACAGAAACAATTTGGCCTAATTTCTGAAAGGAAATGAAAACTCCCTGAATGCCCTGTTCTGCAATGCTGGCCTCTGATCGGCATCTTGAGTGGGAGCCAAGCTCAGCAGGGGATGTGAGCACGAAACTCCTGTCCTAGGTCACCCAGTGTAGGTGTTCTCAGCTCCTTTTTTCCAACTCTTACTGTGCTGTGAAACGAGATGCCCTTCTGGCAATGGTGTGTTTCCCTCCTCTCTTTCCAGAGCCGAAAGAAAATGAGAGCCCGCTTGCAAAAGACTTTTCCAGCATCCTACGTTATTCGCTTTACAGCAAAGCCTCACCTCAGCACACGCTGTACAAACCCAGAGCGA